CACAGAAACACAGGTAACACAGAAACACAGGTAACACCATGCGCTTATATATTCAATTCCTATACTTCCATCTTCCACATCCACTTATCCTGACACCCCTGGAGCAGTTTTTATGGTTAAGGGCCTAGTTCAGGGGCCCAACAGTGATATGACCAGTCTGCCAGTCATGGGATCTTAATCTGTGACCTTCCGAACACAGAGTCCTAACCTGCAGTATTACATACCGCCTCAGTTTGAACCCACAACCTGGAGGATACAAGCACAGATCCCTGATTCCTAGAGGACACGCATTTATTTCACCAATTAATCTACCTGGAAAAATATGACTATCCAGTGTCACCAGACAAGGAACTTTTTACATTAATTCTGATTTGTTTTGGGAACTGAATGTGACATCGTTGTATTAATGTCTTTTTTATGATGTGTAGGTTAGGGGTCAATGCCCAGAAGGTCATGGATTCAAGTCCTGTGGCCAGCAGAGTAATGGCTGAACTAGAGGGACCATCTGAGCTGCTCTCTTAACCCCAGGGACCATCTGAGCTGCTCTCTTAACCCCAGGGACCGTCTGAGCTGCTCTCTGTTCTTCAATTTATTTAGTGTCTGCTAAATAAATAAAGCTAAATATGCAGAATTGATATATTTCTATTACTCAGCCTACAATCTGTCATTGTCTTCCTGTCTTCCTTCTGCTGCTCTGCTGCCAGTTCATTCAGGCGCTGCTCTTTGCTGCTCTTTGCCTTGCAGTCCCAGAATGGCTTTCCTGCCCAGGATGACTAGCTTTCCAAGGCAATATCCATAAGTCCGCAGAAATGAATACAATTTGATTAATTACAGGCATGATCTAAAGCTACCCACGTGCTTCCAGTCTTCGGGAGGGGGTGAGTATTCTATTCATTTAAATACATTTCCAGCTTTTCTCTAACCTGCCTGAGCCAGCGAAAGCGCTTTTCGCACAGAGTAATTCCTCAGATGCTGGTAATCACTCAGTCTAAGGATGCTGTGTTACTCCTGCTGACTGCTTCCTTGCTCAAACTTCACTCTAAAGAATGTTTTTAAGAAATACTTTTAAAAAAATACTAAACAAACATGCCTGCAAGATCTGCTTCAGCAGTGGTGATGATGTAGCTCTCATATGCCACATGCTGTCTGACTTCAGGTTTCTGAGTAACATAAATGCATCTTGTTTTGAGCATTTTATTCTGTACTCCGCCATACTATAAAAATGAGGTTTAAGTGGGATCAGCACATAACAGCAGGGATCCTACTGGCAGGGAAAATAAACGATGCTTTATTTGCAGAAGCACACTGGAGCGCTTCTCTTTGCAGATCCCATCTTATATACCTTTGGGACAGGCAGATATATAGCGTGGAGTCTGACCATGGGCTCCGCCATTTATCTGGCACCCCAAGTGTATTTTGGATGTTAAGGGCCCTGCTTTAGGGCCCAACAGTGATGCAACTATTCTGCCAAGTATGGGGTTCAACCCGGTAACCTTCTGAGCACAGACACTCAGGCTTAACACTGAGCCACAGAAAGGGGACCCTGTCCGCCCCAGACCCATAACTGGCACTAATGGTATTTAAAATATTTGTACAACTAAACAAGCTGATGTAGTTTAATGGCTCCTCTGCGAGCGAAACTCTGTTATGATTTCAAATGTGGGGAAGCACAGAGGCCACACACTGATTATAGACAGCAAACTCTTCATCACGGGTGAATTCACCTCATTCACTGCATTAAGTGAAAACTCACACAGTGACAATGACTCACAGCTGTTGGGCCACAATGCCAAGCCGGGCATTTTGAAGTGACTGGAAGAACTGCGTGGAAATGCAGACGATCTCCTCTCCACGCTAACATACAAGATGTACGATGGAAACCTTTGAGATGACATCAAAGCAGGCAGGGTCTCTCACCCTTCAACTACCACCATGCTAACAAAGAGCTGCCAGATTGCATGTGCCACACGTGTGTGTGTGTGTGTGTGTGTGTGTGTGTGTGCATGCGCGCAGCAATGAGCAAATAAGCTCTCCTTCCTGTGAAAGCTAAACTTCCATTAGCGTGTGTGTTATCTGCAGAACAAAAATTTGGATTAGTCAGGGAAATGGTCCAATGAGAGAGGCAGGGGGGAAAGGACAGCGAGAGAAGGGCAGGTAGGGGAGACGGGGAATGAGAATGATTTGATCATGTGAGGCCAGTCAGGTATTAAATATGAATTAGTGAGAGACGGATATACAGATTCTCTCCTTTCTGAGGGGAGTATTAGGTGGAGCGAGAGAGGGGTTACATTAATGAGTAAGGGGCTCATGGCATCTCTTTCAGCACCCATCTGTATCAAGACCTTCAGGGTCAATAGTCCATGCAAGGGATCTCTTCATCTGAGCCGACAAGCAGCATAGTGATGATGGATGTGAGAGTGTAAGTGGCCGACCGCCTGGCCGCCTGCCGCAAAGGGCCTGGCAGTAAACCAGCGCGCACCACTGAAGCTAAACTCCTCCAGGAAAACATCATTTGTCTGCATGTAAATCTTTTGCGTTAATATGCCACTTAACCGATAGAATGTAAACCAACAGCCAGTGGGCCCCGCCCCTTTCCATGGTTTCCCGGCAGCGGAACTGAACCTGGCCTCAGTTCCACCTTCTATCCCGCCGAACGGCGAGACCCTGAGGGATGGACAGCCGGCCCAGGGTGACGCCGACGCCGTCACCCCACACGCAGCAACACACCTCCCTCCCAGTTCGAAATGCCCTTTCTATGGTGTTACGTGTTCAACGCATCTTTCGAGAACATCAGACCAATATTTTAAGATCTTTTTTTCTCCATTCCTTTGCTTTTGAAATGCTAATCCTCTTTCTCGCAATGCCCTAGAGATTCATAAACCCAGGCAGTGGTCAGCAGGATGACAAAATGAGCCGCATTTCCTGAGCGCTGCCTCCCCCCCCCCAGAGGCCCTGCTCCCCCGGCGCTTCCGCCCAGCTGTGAGCTGCTAGCTGCTGAATCCGGCATCGCAGGCATCACCTGACGGCCTCGTCAGCAGCACCTGACCGCTGACTCTCCCTCATAAGACGCCTTTTTTCAGCATAATCTGCATGTTATTCTAAATTAAACTGATTTTTATTTTAATCATTAATTAAACAAGCATCAAAGGTCACTGGCGAAACTGGCTGAAACACCACCCCCCCCACTCCTCTATGAGCTGCCTGCTCCCCCCAGTATCTCTGAGGTCTGAAAGCAAAGCACTGACACGCGTGTGTGTGTCTGTCTGTCTGTCTGTGTGTCTCTGTCTGTCTGT